ATTGCAAAGTGTTCCGTCTGTGGAGTCAAACAACATGCCATTCCTGCCTTCATCAAAGCCCCATGTAAAACAGCAGGCTGCAGGGAAATGTCACAAGCCCACACCACATTGCAGGCTTAATTACCTCTGTGTGTATTTAGTGTGTGTGTGTGTGTAGCCCCAGCACAAGGGCTTAGCACCAGTGAGGTCAGCCAGTATTTATCCCAGTAAGAAGAGCTGTGGTGTCAGCCTGACTCCAGTCTGAACCTGCCCACCACTTGTGTCCACTGTTATTTCACTCAGCAGTGCTGGGGCACCACTGCAGTGACAGCATGGCAGCAACAGCTACAGAAGAATGACTTTCTGTTAACTCCTGATAAACCTTTAGAAAAGCACTAACCAATACTCATTACCCATAATTATCAAGCTGAACACAAAATGAACTGATGAGTTACAGTGTAACATTTTTTGCTTGTGTGTGTTTTGCTTACATAGGACAAAAATTTGAATAATTGTATCAATAAATAATTAGGATTACAAGATTAACAGATTAATAGACAATAGGTTCATGTTTAGCTACGCTCTTGATCATAATCTATTGCCGATCATTTGTCATTCACTGCTAACCCATTATGCCAGACGGAGCACAGTGACTGGCCACTATCAGCCTGGCCTTGATGCACTCACCCATCATAGCTCGATAGAAATGCACACATCCAGGTGCACCAGTATTTTTCCTGTCTCTTCTAAGTCTATCTTTTCCTCTACAAACACTTCAAGCACGTGTAAACACATACATCATCATTCCTGACACAGAGTACACTTCACAGCACATGCACACAGCCTTGAGGCACATGCCTTTCAGCGTAAAACTCCTGCACACTGCTCCACCTCATGCCTTGTGACACATATTATATGACAGCAGAGAGCCAGAGAGAACCAGCCCTCCTGCAACAGTGCCACAACTGCCAACACATAATCATATAAGTGTGTTTACTCCGGCTTCCACCTCGATCTCGGGACATCCAAAAGAATTTGGTTGGAGAACATGAGATCTCTACAGTGTGTACGGGCAACCAGAAGCTCAGCTAAGTAGGATGAAGTTTTACCATGTAGGGCATTAAAAATGAACAGAAGTTCAAAATCAATTCTATAATGTATCAGAAGTCAACTGAGTAAGTGCAAAACAGGTGTCATATGATCATATTTATGTGTATGAGTAATGACAAGAGTAGCAGAATTTTGGACAGTGAGGACTGCAGAAAAGGTCATTGGTGTGAGCCTGCCCTCCATGGAGGACCTGTACACCTCACGGATCAAAAGGAGGGCAGAGAGGATCACTGCAGACCCCTCACACCCCGGATACAATCTGTTTGAACTCCTCCCCTCTGGACGGCGCTACAGGTCACTGTGCACCAAGACAACCGGGTACAGGGGCAGTTTCTTCCCCCAGGCTGTCGCTCTGATGAACACTTAACGCACGATAGTAAGATTGGACTTTAACTCTCAGTGCAACACCTGTAAATATACCTTGTACAGATTATACAGATTTGTAGAGGTCTCTAGTTTTAAGTACTCTATCTTTATTCCTGTTTATCTCATTTCAATGAGCATTCCTTGTCTGTCTGCATTGTTTACTGCCTGTTTATACTGCTTATTCTGCATTGTTTGCACTGTTTGTTGCTGTTAATACTGCTTATTTTGTTATACTACACAGCCTTATGCTGGTTTACTGTTTACTTGCCCCTTGCATGAGGATATGTACATCCACATTGAGAGCTGATGTACCAGAGTCAAATTCCTCGTGTGTCCAACACACCTGGCCAATAAAGCTGATTCAGATTCGATTCTGATTCTGACTAAATGAAGATGAGAAAGTAATGATTGATTTACACCAACATACAAAGTGTTATAGTCGAACCTAGAGCTGATAAAAGTATGAACTGCCCTCTGAAAATCCTCAAAATAAAACTGGACGGGTTCTTTGTGAAGGTGCTGTAGTCAACTTTGATGAATGTCTTACTGCTCATGATGTTGGTGATGCACTTGGGTGAGCTGATATTCTGCATCTTTCTTTGTACTTTTGGAAAGCCACAGGGCTGGCTTCCTCTAAAGAACATGTGGTGAGCATATCGCCAAAGGGTCAACAGGCAGTTTCAGGCACAATATTGATCCAACTGATGTGACCTGTGGCATTAATCTGAGCTGGAATTAATAAGCCACTGTCTGATCATCCATCCCTATAAGACACTGATAATTATCTCCTGTGGTGAAGTGATGTCAATGTGTCTCAGCTACAAAGATGCCTATGATTTACATTCAAGGCCTGTAATGTCACTTACAGTAACCCTCTGCTGCTGCACAGATAGTGATCAACAAAGGATGAAGTGTATTTATGATTTTCTGGAATTAAAAGAATGCAGAATGACGTGCTGTTTTTCTGCAGATGCTCTCAGGGTGTGTTCATTGTGTTAAGCCTGTTCTGAAAGGTTTATTTAAACACGTGTGCCACTCCTGTGGTTTGACCAGGTAAACAATGTCAAACACAGGTGGCACCAAAAGCAGCTGTAAATACAAATCTCTCTCTGAAAGACAGACTAAACAAAATCAACGTGAATATATGCTTCTTTTCTTCTTCATCAGGGAAATATAATGTGAACTGAGGACTGAAATTTTATCCAGGAATTCTATGAGCTCATGGAGGATGCTGGTAGGATGCCAGGATAAATAACACTGCGTTGTCAGGAGCAGGATGGATCAAGAAAAGCAGGTTTCAGTCTTTCATATAGTCACTGAAGGCCTCATATATAAAGGAATCTCATAAAATTCTGGTGGAATATCGGGACAAATCCATTGCACTGTCAGGCTCGAGGCTGGATCGAGAAACACCAGCCTCAGATGTGGATGAGAGACCTGTTCATTTGCACAGTCACCCAATAGAAACCAAGGCCCACATGTCTTTAAGATTGAATTCTAGCTCAGCAGCTATATTGAAAACAAACTGGATCTGTCTTTACACACACACCTGACATCGTTTATTCAGAGCATCCTGGCCATACATGTGGAGACCAGCTGTCAGAGACAGGTAGAGATCTGAAATCAAATTTCTGCTCATGTCTATTCACACATCCAGCCAACATTCCAGAGGAGTTAACAGGTCAGGCTTGTAGAACATATCACCAAGTCCTACACAAACAAAGTCTGACATTTGTCTGTTTCTCTCACAGTTTACAGCCGTGTGCTAATGAATTTGTCCAATCTGGACTCCCAGGTAAACTGCAGCACTAGTTCACTAGCAGTCGTGCTACACAGTATCAGTGAGTCTGCTCATTAAGGCTGAGAACTATCCATGCTTTCTGGATTGAATAGCTAGATTTATTATTTGGACCAGTCCCTGTCAGAATCCAAACTGCCACAATTCCAGGGTGGAGTTTCTTCATCTTAAATTCTATTGTCTGCACAGGAGCCAGTGTTGTTCTGCATTCACACGACATCAGCAGAAAGGAAAGAATGGGAAACCCTCCTGTCCTGGGAGCATTCTTAACATCACTGTGCGATAGCTACAGTAAACCCATTTCTATACTTGCAGTCACAATACTAAATTGCCTATTTGCTATCAAGTCACATACAGTATTTTTAACAGTTCATTTGACAAAACTAGATAAAAATGCTATATGGATGTTTTTTAGTAGTGTACTAAACTAAATTGGACTCAATAATGAATATGATTGCTACACAACTGCTAGTTATGTTAGCATCAATGTGCAGTTATATTGCCACTGGTTTGTTGACACGTCTGCAACTTCATGAAGCAGGGGGTATTGTAGCTGTCAAAAATTCCTGATATATCCAAATCAGAATAACAACAGCTCAACTGCTTGCAATAACAGCCTTACTGATGTGTTGCAAATACAGCATTATCTCAAAAAATACTGTTAGCTAGCAACTCAGCAGCCGACCTGAGCAAATGAAAATTGCTCACTTAGATTAAAAGTTCATCTGTTTGCCACATGAATTTGAGGTTAGGTTAATACCACATTGAATTATAAGTATGTTAGCACTGTGATTAAGCTGCCATGTTGATTTTAGCCTGGGGATTGAAATATCTGGCCTGAGTTTCCTATTTCAATTCTGACTTGAAGGGATTAATATTGTCTTATATAACGTATCACTTCTGAGATAAAATATAAGATAAAGATAAGAGTGACTGCAGATTGTTGTTATTCCCTGGCAGCAACAAACATCAGACCATCTTTGACATCAATCTAGAATTTTGATTTTAGCTTTTCACAAAAGCCTCTGTGCCATTTATTTTTTACAACCACAGCTCAAACTCATAAGGTCTTTCATATGAGGAACCAGCAGAATGTGTGTTCTGTTAGTTCTAGCATTAACTATATGTATTTATTTACATATGTGCAGCACGGGGCAGCCCTGCCGCTGCTGCTGCTGCTGCTGCTGCTGCTGCAGGACCTGGCATCATACAGGCTTCAAATGAAGACCAGCCTCTTGTTACATCTGCTGAATCTTCCTCAGTGACAAAGCCAGCTGTGACAACAGGAGTCAGGCCTATAGAAAACAGTCATTCCTCTTTAATCCAGGAGTTGCTGCAGAGCAATCTGACAGAAAAGAGCCACGAAACCCGGTGTGGACGTTTCTACATCCTGTCTAATTAGCCAGCATGAAGTTAATTTCTCTTGGAACAAATTTCAAACTGTGTCCTAACACCAGACAACCTCAAGCTTAATTGTAGCATCGCTCATTAGGGTGTACCCAGATGATGCTGCCTCCATTAGCAGATAAAGGACAACAAGCTATTTGTAGTATAAATCTTTCACACAAGGGAGTATTACACTGATCTCATAGCAGTGGAAAATGTGTAAATTATGACAAAGCAACCACAGACTGCTCAACACAGCTACACTGGAAGCCCTAAAGGCATTTTATTCTAATATTAGTGAAGTTCCTCCTTGAGATCTAGAATTTTCCCAGTTACTAAAGAAAGAGGGGTAAGATCTTACCGGTGCTGCTCATGGTGCGACTCGGGTGTCTTCTCTAGTCAAATGATGCACTAAGCCACTATCCACATTGACAGTACATGGATGATGCCAATAGGACCAGAGCGCACAAGCCTCAGTGCGGCCAGTAGAATGAATGGAAGGAATCGTTTACACTGGAGATGCTGCAGACAGCCTGGTTGTCTCTGTGTGCTGAGGCCGCAAAGATCTCCTGAAAACAGCCGCAATGTGTAGACGATGAACTGCAAACACTGCAGGGCTGCGCTGCCTCTCTCCACCGCGACAGCGCAGGTTGGGTGTGGGCGCACAGTGGAGAGGCAAGACTAGAGTCAAGCTAGAGAGAGGATTGAATAGAGTTTCCTCAGTGACATCTCAAAATAAAGGTCGAAATTCAGATTAAAGCGATGGCTATTTGGAGGTGTTTTACAGTAGGTGGCAAAATAAGAATGATCTGGCTGAAGTAGTCTTTCTCTCAACCGTGTCATGCACTCTTTTTTGTCATAAAAAGCTTAACTCGTTCATAATAGTTTATTTGCAGCACTGATTAAATCTACAGAGGAGTGTATTTATTTGTTGGGTTAGGTCTGGTCTGGGCATGATCAGTCATCAACAAACTAGAAGCCTGTTTGGGAGAGACAGATGTTTACATGAATAAAAAATAAATTTGGGAATAACTGCCCTTGGATGAAATTTGTTTTGATGCAACATTGTTTTGTGTGAACAAAATGCTCATGTGCAACCAACTGCTCCACAGCCTCTTAAGCTTTTATTTTGAAGAAAGAAATCCATAGCTTCCTGTCTCCTGATAGGTAATAGCGACATCTTGTCTGTGTTTTGTTTCAGCATCCAGCAATCTGCTCCTAAACGGAGCGTCCTCGGGCGGACGGTGGCGCGGGTTACATGGCAGTTCTGGTCTTTAAGAAATAAAACATCCATTCTATGAGCAGTCTGCTGCTGATGTTGGGCTATAAGCCTGTTCATTGGAAAGAAACGGAAATGGGAAAGAGACTGTCAGTCACCGAACTGTACTGTAATCTTTAAAATAGGCTACCTTAGCATATCAGTTTGGAAATAATGACAATGTTGTTATGTATTCTGGCAGTTTTGTTTGAATTATTTAATCAGCAGAGAAGCAGATTATATTTCTCTGTCCTCTTTATGTGTCGCAATGTCATAAACTGGAAACAACCGAGGAGAGGGAACAAGAGGAAGATACACTGTAAACACCTGTTTTCGTGGAACACTTCAGAATGTCGCACCGCACACATGCTGCGTCATGTGACGTGTGTCATATGACTTCGATAGGCTCAAAGTGCACAACAAAAGCTATTTTCTTATACAAATACTCAAACGTTTATCCCGAAATTTCTCCAGAATTGTACAGTGAAAGTACATTTATTTTTGTGAGGTTGTAGTCTGACTCCTCTAGCATCAGTCCCTGTGAGGACTTGTGTACCCAAGTGTTTTTAGGAGGCCTCAAATTGTGCAAAAAAAGCTATTAATCAATTAAAATATTTAATTAATTCTGAAATAAAAATGTACAGGGGGCACCTCCCATATTATGTGAGCTATTGATATTCAAAAAGTTGAGCATAACACTGTAAGACGGTCAGCAGTGTTGATACCGCTCCATCTCCTGCACCACCTCCAGCTCCTTCCACACCAGAGAGGTGACATTACACATTCCTTGCTAGCTAGCTAAATCCAGACCCTTCTGAAATAGAATTTCAAAGATGATACATCCCCTATTGTAGGTCCACATGCACGCACTGAATATTAAATACATTTTTCTCAAAACCGGTCCATAATTATCCCCCTGTCCATGCAAAATAACTGCAGATTTGCAGTCAGGCCACATACTCTGAACTACCATTCAGCGCATAAGCGCAATCAACAGTCAGAGGTTCCCTCCCAGAAATTTTTAAGTTGCATGGAGGCGACCCTCTTGTTCCTTGGGGAGAACTCCAACACAGCAGTGCTCAGCCGGTGGTTTGTGGGTATCCCCACATCTGCTCAGCATGTCACACCCTGGGCAACTCAGTAAAAGGATAGAGTCCAGCCCCTCTCCAGGAGTTTGGTTTCAGAGCCAAGGCTATGTGTGGAGGTATGCCCATGGTAACATAGTAACATGACTTTAATTAAAGCCTGTTTAAATGAAATTTTATTTAAAACCAACAGGGGGCAGAAATACAATCTTAAGGATGCCAGCTGACGTAAAATCTGATAGAAGAAGAAGTAACAATAGTTGACGTCATTGCTGTGCGACTGTATGGCATGGTTTCCTCTGGCCAGGTTGAAATTGTGCGGAAAGATTTGTTATGCGAACAAATTAACTGAATTTTATGCGACATGGATATAACCGAGGCTATCGACGACAGCTTTGGAATAGAGGTTATTCTTTCAGAGGGCGGTAAAACACCGCCATGTTGTCCGCATGGTAAGACTTACTGTGAATAGCCTAGTAGCGAAACTCCAAACTGCCTTAGCAAACTTAGTATTTCAAAGTTGATTTACACAATCTAGTAAACAATGTAGACAATACAATTTATTACACAATACAAATAAATAATGTCCTAATGAATTCGGCATATGGATACAACCCAAGATAGTTCGTATCGCAGTGAAAGTTGGAATCGAAACTGACCTTACACTACCAGCCATCAGGATGTTTTTTGACGGTAGAAATAGCAGGAAGGAACCATAGGAATAACATCTGAGCCTAATATGAAGCCGAACTTTGCTTAAATGTTTACCACTTTCACTAAGTATTTACCGTAATATGTAAAGATTGTCCATTATAATTTGATACTGTTTTCGGTGGAGTTTGGCTCACATTTCAGTGTTAGCTAAATACAGAGGGCCATGTTTTGCTGAATAACAATGCCAGCCATGTTTTGCCAGGTCCAGCACTGCTGTTTGAGAAAGTTAGCAAAGGAGGAGAGAAAGGCAGGAGGTTCTATGCCTGCTCAGCTTGTAGAGACAGAAAAGACTGCAGCTTTTTCCAGTGGGAACATGAAAAGGTAGGCTCGCTAAATTCACCAATCACTTGTAACAAGATATGCGATACTTGGTTGAACCATGTTTTAAATTATACTTCAAAGGTGTCAGAAGCCAGGCTCTTGGCCAGAGAAGCAGAAAACCAGTTGAGAAGACCTCCGTTCAGTCAGAAGGAGTACTGTACCCGGTAATACATAACACTAATTATTATTCAATGTTTATTGTATATTTATGTAAGGCGTCACCTACAATCTGTCATGGCCTCCTCCTACAGAGAGGCTTGTTCGTTGTAGTTGTGATCTAGGGCATCTACTGTGTATCAGTCCTGCACCAAAGTTGTCTGTGATTTGGACATCTCAGTCACAGATCCGCTAATAAAATATTTTACTGGTGTGTTGAAAATTCAACATCAACATGAGGAAATTGAGAATTCCCATACATAAAGTGAACATAATAACTGACTTATTGCTTGACTCTGATTTGTGCCTCAGGTTCAGAAAGTTTGCCTCCCTCCCACCAGATAAGAAGAAGTTTTGTCAGGATTGTCAGATTCTGCTCCTTCCAGGAGAGCATGAGGCCCACACCTCTCACAAATCCACTGATGTCAGTGAGTCTCAGCTGAGGAGGCCCAGTGTGCTGCTGCGTCCTCTGGATAACAAGAAGAGCAATGCCCAGTACCTGTTCACTGACCGTAGCTCACACTTTATGCTGGACACGTTGGCTGCTCTGGGATACAGGAAGGTGCTGTGTGTGGGCACACCCAGGTGAGGAAGATACTGAGTTAGAACAGGGGTTTTCAAAGTTCATTGTATCCAGCATTCTCCCACATTCATTCTTCAATTCAGCATGAGACTGAATTTCAAAGGTTTCTATGTGGGTTTGCATTGATGTATAAAAACGCAGTTCAACATCCACTGCTGACAAAAATGCTTGGCTTGTCATTATGATGTGTTAACTGTGGCCCAGATTCAACAGTGAATAGCACTGAATGTTCATACTAACAAGGTAAACAAGAGTCGTCTTCCCATGGACACCCACATCCCGGTCGTACCCCCGTTTGTGATTGGTTAACACAGCGCCTTTGCTGGATGATGTCACTGTCCAGAGTACTGAGGGTTAAAGCCGCATAGAAGATTCCTCCACCGGTTAGAAGGTCACACACATAGTTCATGCACAGTTATAAGGTCTGAAGATCATCGTGAGCTCATACAGGAGAGAAGCCAGTCAGTCGAGTCTGTGGCAAAACCTTTTACAGTGTTTGCGTAATGTTGTCTGTCCCCGATTGGCTGTTCAGCTTAGTGAATCAGTGCACGAGAAGAGAACGTTTCGGGAAAACCCCTTCAGTGTCCATTTTTTTTACCCATTTCATGTGGTTTCTCCTTATTTTTCACTTCCTGAACCTACTTTCTTCTTCTACAACCAAAAGACCCAGGGTAGAGAACAGCAGTGTCATTTTCAACTTCTTATCAGACATATTCTCGATTACAAGCAGCTTTAAACAGTAGCTGTTTTGAATGAGAGGTGCTTTGTTTATCGCTTATACTTCTGCATTCTAGCTCTTCTTTCCCTTTCTTCATGGCAAATACAGATACCGCTATCTTCTGGTAGGGGGAGTTATTTCTGTCATGCAGGTACAGAAGGTACGTGCCAGTCGGCCGTTCCCTGTAGTCTTTGTGGTGTCACTTTTTCAACCCAACTGGACCGGACAAAGCCAACTTGAAGCAACACAGCAGTCAGCCATTGTTGCTACATTCTACCTAAAATAGTCCCTACCTCTGCTTTTACACCTCACCTGTTTGCTCAAGCAAACTCTAGTGAGTTTGCCTGTTTGGTTTGGTCAGACTGGTGTTGAAACTGTCAGTCAAACTTTATATCCACTACTGATAGTAGATGCAATATAGTATTGGATATTAGCATCAAAATAAAAACCTAACTACCAGTAATTTATGCAGTTTAAATGCTAACACAACAGGTTTTCCTCAGGACAGCAATAACACGAGAAAATGCACAATCTTTTTATCTAATCTTATAATTATTTTATTTTACTAACAGTACAATATACATGCAAAATAGTTTGAGTGGTCAGATGTGAAATGAGAGATTTGAGACCTTGTTTGATGTTTTTTTATTATTATTTAATTTATAGCCAACAATGATTTTTCATTTGTTTGACAGACTTCAGGAACTGATCAAGTTGCGAAACCTGGAGCAGAAACATGAGCCAATGAAGAGCCTGCTGCTGGACATTGACTTCAGGTTAGCTTGTCTTGTCTTGTATCATGCTTCATTTAACTGTACAGTTGTGTTTGACTTGATGGTATCTACATGGATGGCAGAAGACTGCACACATTATTGTTAGCAAGACCTCGTCAGCGACCTTCGAGCTTGTCTTTTGCACATGCGCTCTTGTACAAAGCTGATTAGAAACCTGGTTACATATATACTGTACATAGCGGAGAAATCAGCATTCTGTACCTGGGGAAATCAGGTTTCCCTATTCCCATACCATAGTTATGGAAACTGGATTTCCCATTTACATGACGGTTAAGAAAGCCAGTTGTAACCTGGTTACTGAAGTGCATGTAATCGCAGTCACTGTCTCAGGGGTATGACTACCGCATCAAGGGGTGTTGAGGTGACATAGCTCCAGGTGGTTTGGCCACATCTGGCTCTCTGGTGGTCTCAGGAAGCGTATGGCAGGGTACAGCGGCTCAGTGAACTGGTGGTGAACCCGGTCAAACACTGGTGTCAGGGCTGCTGAGAATTTCTGCAGGACAGCCATGGTGTCGGCGTTGTAAAACATCAGCTGGCCCTTGTCGTAATTCACCCACACTCCCACTTTTCTGAGCGGAGTTTGACTGACACCCAGACACACCACATGCCGGTCATTGTGCCAAGCCAACAGATTGCTGTTCCGAAGCTCCACACACCACGAATTCCTGTTTCGGCCCAGTTGGGCACCCTTGTCCCGGCCCTTCCTTTGCAGACTGCCATAGGCCATACCCACAGCCCAGGCATCACAGCAGTGTACGTCGACCTCCCAGTAACTCTGACCAGCTGTGACAGAAGACGAGCCCAGAGCACAGCACACTTTGTCAAACTGTAGAGGATGCTCTGGAGCTGGGCGGGCAGGCGCTGAGAAGGACATGCCCCGCCCCTCTGAGGTCACTGTAATCTGACTGTGGCAAGTGTGCCTGTCAATCACCACAGGAAATGAATCTGAAGTAAAAGAGAGAATTCTTAATTATTGATGGCATTTTGATCTTGTCCATGCATCAGTGTTACTTTAAACTAATTCAACACTGCATTCATACCTGTTGCTTGTTTGTTTTTTGTATTTGGGGGTTAACCTGTCGTCATGAGGCAAAGTTAGCTGATTTGACAGTTTACAATTGTGTGTAAAAATTTGGGCAGGTTTGAAGTGAAAGGAAGTAAATACACACACTGCAGCAAACAGACAATAAAGCCCCTTTTCCAACACTAGATACCAGCACGACTCGATTTGACTCGCCTTATTTGTTTTTCAATCGGTCAAATGGGGATAGTACTTGGAACCATTTTTGGTATCACCTCTGAGATTCCAAGCGAGCTGAGATGATACCAAATGGTGACTTGTAAACATTGCAGACTACCAATTGGTCAAAGAAATTAGTTGCTACTTTGGGCAATCTTGCCACTGATTAATCTGGATGTTTACATGTGATGGCTGTGGGACCGTGCCTTCTCGGCAGTTTCATGTGGTGTCGTCATGACCGCCAGCTACACTGAGGGGGGTGCACTCTGCAGTGGAAAACAGAGCACCTGGTACCAAAAGCAAGTAGAATCGACCTGAGCCGGTGCCAAGTGGTGGAAAAGCCACTTAAAATGAGCATTTCGTCAAATGTTAATGCATTGTTACATTGGTTATGATGACATTTATGCGTGTAATGCAACTTGTGCAGAGGACAGTGACACATTATTATCACCTGCCCAAATGAACCAGACTTACTGTTCTAAATGAGTTGATATAGAAATAATTTCCTTGGTACCTAACAGTAGAGTCTTCCTCTCCAGCTGGGCTTTCAGGTTTTTGCAGATGGAGGATAATGTTTTAAGAAGCTTCTCAAATCTCTCTCCATTCAGCCGGATTTCCTTTTCAAACGCATCTGGCTTCTTAGGACTGGAGGAGTAATCACACAGATTATAATGAGACTGAGAGGTCCGTTACAGACCGGACCCAACAGTTTTCATTCATTTCAGTGGGGCAGTGTTTTTACCTCAGATTTTCAGAGTGACCCTTGAGAGGAGACATAAACAGAAATAGTGATTAAAACACTTTCAGTTACTCTGCTGTTAAACTGTGATATTGAGCAACATGTGAACAAGACCTGCCCGCCTTCCTCTGCTCCGGGGTGCTTGCTCAGTGCTCTCTGGGTGTTACTGATGCTCTTTGTAACCTGGTCCTGGTGTTGTTTCCAGTTCTTTAGAACCTGGTCCAGTTTGGTTCTGGTCCGTTTGAGGTCCAGCTCCAGAGAGTCGAGGGTGGCATGCTCGTCCTGCTTCAGGATGGCCCTAATGTTGTCAAAGCATTCACGAACCTGCTGCTTCATCATCTCTGTGCTCCTCTATGGGAAGGAACATGGAAAGCATGAGGGCAGATGTTGGGCTCTGTTTTCTGTTGTTCTCAGTTGTGGTCAGATGTGTGTATAGTAACTGGTTTTAAGTAGTGGTGGTACTTGATCCCATACTTACAGAAAGATCTGTTTTGCGTTTTTTCAGAGACTGGATGTGGGCCTCAGTTTTGGATCTCTCTGCCTGTAGCTCCTCCAAACATCTGGACAGCTGTTCCTGTAGTTAGCAGAGTTACAGCCAAATAAACTAGCCATACATTTGAATAGAAGGTTAACTGAATAATTTATAATCTTATACAGTGGGGCAAATAAGTATTTGATACACCGCCGATTTTTCAGGTTTTCCCACTTACAGAGAATGGACAAATCTGTAATTTTCATCGTAGATACACCTCAACTGTGAGAGACAGAATCTACCAAAAAATTCCAGTAAACCACATTGTTAGATTTAAATAATTTATTTCTATTTTATTGCATGAAATAAATATTTGATCACCTACCAACCAGCAAGAATTCTGGCTCTCACAGACCTGTTAGTTTGTCTTTAAGAAGCCCTCCTATCCTCCACTCATTGCCTGTATTAATTGCACCTGTTTGAACTCGTTATCTGTATAAAAGACACCTGTCCACTCAATCTATCAGACTCCAACTTCTCCACTATGGGCAAGACCAAAGAGCTGTCTAAGGACACTAGGGACAAAATTGTAGACCTGCACAAGGCTGGGATGGGCTACAGGACAATAGGCAAACAGCTTGGTGAGAAGGCAACAACTGTTGGTGCAATTATTAGAAAATGGAAGAGGCTAAAGACGACTGTCAATCTCCCTCGGACTGGGGCTCCATGCAAGATTACGCCTTGTGGAGTATCAATGATCCTGAGAAAGGTAGGGGATCAGCCTAGAACTACATGTGAGGACCTGGTCAATGACCTGAAGAGAGCTGGGACTGCAGTCTCAATGGATACCATTAGTAACTATACTGTCATGGGTTAAAATCCTGCAGCACACGCAAAGTCCCTCTGCTCAAGCCAGCACATATCCAGGCCCGTCTGAAGTTTGCCAAAGACCATCTGGATGATCCAGAGGAGGCATGGGAGAAGGTCATGTGGTCAGATGAGACCAAAATAGAACTTTTTGGTATAAACTCTGCAAAAAGCAAAGACGAGATCCTGTGGTCCGGTTTGGGGACCACAGGATCTCGTCTCTGCTTTTTGCAGATGACGTTGTCCTGTTGCTCAGAGTAGTATTTCATGCAATGAAATGGAAATAAATTATTTAAAAATCTAACAGTGTGATTTTCTGGAATTTTTTGTAGATTCTGTCTCTCACAGTTGAGGTGAACCTACGATGAAAATTACAGATCTGTCCGTTCTTTGTAAGTGGGAAAACTTGGAAAATCGGTGGTGTATCAAATACTTATTTGCCCCGCTGTAGATGTGACCAAGGTTAATGGAGGGCTAGGACATGCTTTTTTGCACCAATACGTTGGTTGTTTGTTTTGTTTTGTTTTTTTTTGTTTTTTTTAGATTTATTTCTGGTTTAGAGAAAGTTTTAAATTGCTTGTTTTGTCTAGCCAATTGTCCAAAGACATTCAATTTATAGTCATAGAAAAAAGCAGGAAGTCCTGGCAGCAGAGGACTTTTTGTTGCAAAATTTAGAGGCAGTCAACTAAGACTACTAGTGATACCAATGATAGTTTTTGTTTTAATCTCCACATCATTTTCTCAATCATTTTGTTTATAAGATGTTACAGAGTGGTGAAAAATGCATATGTGAATATCTCTCAGCCCAAGGTGATGTCTTCAAATCTCAACCCACAGAAATTCACTGTGAACTGAAATTCAAATTGCTCTCACATATGACAAAGAAAAGCCCTACAGCTGGAAATAGAAAATGGAAATTCATCTGTTAATCAGTTATTAAGGGCGGGAGCAGTGGTTAGCGCTGTCGGGTTCCTGGTTCGAGCCCTGGCCACCCAGGGTACTCCGGCTTTCTCCCGCAGTCCAAAGACATGCAGCTTAGGTTGACTGGTGAGTCTAAACTGTCCACAGGAGTGAGTGTGGGGGTGTGTGGTTGTCTGTCTCTAAGTGTCAGCCCTGTGACAGACTGATTGATAGATAATGGATGGATGGGTAGAATGGTAAAGATACATGTTTGGTGTTCTCAGGTCTCTTGCAAAAGAGAGTTTAATCTCAGTGAGATCACCTGGTTAAATAAAGATTGCGCAGTAAACCTTCTGCAGTGAAATGCACGTATCAACATGCACTTGATTACACATACTGCCAGTAAGTGCTGTTCACTTACTGTACAGCAGAAATGGTCCTACTTTTGTTTGTGCTCTGGCTCAGGGTGCTGTGAACCTCATTGCCGTGGTTGTGTTTTTTCTTCACACCCTTTCATGAAATACTTCAAGCACTAAGTCATTCCTGACTTTGAGTCCAGTAAATAGAGAGAGTATGAAATCATGCACATCACTGAGCACTAAAATATTACATCTTCTGTGCTTTACCACCCTCATGTTTACCTGGGAAGGCTGTCCAGCTTTGGATATCTTCCTCTGGAGTTTTGGTGATCGTGGGAAAGGCTGAACAACCCCGTCACTGGAGTCTAGTGAAGTGAAGTTCAGTCCTTCCTGCAGTACACTATATGCACCTGCAATGGGTGCTGCAAGACCACTCTGTACTGATTGAGCCTCTGCTGACTTTTTATTACCAAGGGAAAATGATGACTCCTCAGCCATTTCTGAAGATTGAACCAACAAGGAACATGCAGTCAATTTCTGTCAGAGATGTTTTCCCATTTTGCACCATGTGAAGCATTTTCAGTATGTTTGCTTTGCTCAAGTAACCAGTTCTTCAGGTTTTTTAGAAAGTCTGTGAAAACCTGTCTGTTCTGAGTCCATGCCAAGCTTGCAAAGGAAAGATAATCTCAGTAAGTGTCCCTGAGTGCCTAAATGCAAAAGCCCTATTCAGGACATGGGATTGTGTAGTATGCAAAGTAAGTGTAAAAAATGAGATGTTTTATATTTTAGATTCTTTCAAGTAACCACCTTTTGCTTTGATAACAGCTTTTGCACAACTATGGCATTCTCTCAGCCACGTTAATGGGGTGATCACCTGAAATGCTCTTCCAACAGTCTTGATGGAGTTCCCACATTTGCTGAGCACTTGTTGGCTGCTTTTCCTTCACTCTGTGGTCCAACTCACCCCAGACCATCTCAACAGGGTTTAGGTCGAGGCCAGGTCATTGTCCTGTTGAAACCAGTGACAGTCCCACTAAACGCCCCCGCACCATTACAACTGCCCCTCCATGCTTCACAATGGGAACCACATTCATTCACCTCCTCTGCTTCTCACACAGATGTGGCTGTTGGAACCAAAACTCTCAAACTTGGGGTACATCCCAGTTCCCTTTTTTGCATCCACTTCTCCCTTACTTGCATACTTTTCTTGCATCCTAGTCCTGCCCGTGTCAGATGCAAGGAAGAGCTACAAGGAGAAAATGGGAGCAACGAGGATTCAAGAAAGCATGGTTTTAGAGACACAAGATGTCCTGTTCATCTGAAGCATCCAATCACCAAGGGTTGTGTCTGTCAATAAAAGACTTCTGACTGAGACTGACCTTCATGTCTTAGAGTAATTGTGGAATCTTGTTTCTCTTTGCTTAGTTGAGTTCTTCCATTATACGGATCACTACAGTAGTTGAATAGGGCCGTTTGCTGTATACCGCACAAGTCAGCACAACACACCTGATGATCTCAGATGCATTAAGAAGGATAGAAATTCCAGCAGCTAACTTTTGACAAGGCACACGAAGCTGGTGAAGCTGGTTAACATATTGCCAGTAATGCACAAAGCTGTCATCGAGGCAGACAGTGCAATCTAAAATATGAAACACATTATGCTTTGTTTGCGGTTTTTGGTTGTGACATAATTCCATACATGTTTCTGTTATTTCATAGCTTAATGTGTTCAGTACTAATCAATAACATAGAAAATAATGGAAACAAAGGAAAACCACTGAATGTGAAGTTGTCCCCAAATGCTCGACTGGTACTGTACAGTTTTTCTTTCAGACAGTTCCTTGTTTACTGTGGAATAACATTTAGGACCTCTACTGTAAAAGCAGCATCAAATACAGACCAAGTTATAATCTTTTAACATTTTTATTATTGTTGTTGTGGCTGTTCTTACCGGAGGTCTGCTTGTCCGTCTTTCCTTGTCCGTTTGTTTCTGTAAAGAATATGCAAAGAGGGCGTGTTCTTGTGTTACGAGCTTAAACCTGCAGCTCACACACCTTATCGTTACCTGGATACACAGCTCAGGGTCCAAGATAAGTTCAGACTTGCTCTTATTTTTCAGTCTGCTGTTATTAGACAAGGTGACAGAACAGAAGCCAGTCTATTAGAAAGTTGTTTTTTAATGCAGAAACTCACCGAATCTGTTGTTCTGTTTCAGATATGCTCAGTTCTACAGCCAAGATGAGTTCTGTCACTACAACATGTTCAATCATCACTTCTTTGGTGGAGAGGTATGAATTAAAACACTTTCATGCTGTTGCTTTGGGTTAAAATGATGCTATAAGTCCCTTCATAGTGAAGAGCCGTTTCTTTCTAGGCCTCCAACGCAGTCCTGCAGGCGTTCCTCACAGAGTCTGATGGGGACAAGGTGGTGATGGTGGCTGACCCTCCGTTCGGTGGCCTGGTGAAACCTCTGGCTAACACTTTCTCTCTGATCTCACAGACATGGAGGAAGCTGCAGAGCTCTGGTCAGTGTCGCTGTGGAGTGTTCTGTCTATATTTGTCTTTTCAAGTTTTCATTGTCCCACAGGAAGTTTTTTTTTTTTTTTTAACAGTACAGCAGCTCAAAAAAACCCAGTAGCAATAAAAGACATTAAACATGCAAAAACTACACCCTCAACACAAAATACACTTATAAATCCATTAAAAATGTCCATCAAAAAAGAGCTCAATTTTAAAAATGTATTAAAATCCCGTGTTTCTACCAACATACGTGTGTGTGCAGACAGCAGTAATGCCGATATGCCCATGATGTGGATCTTCCCGTATTTCTTTGAGCCTCGCATCCTGGAGAGTTTCCCTTCGTTCTCCATGCTGGACTACCAGGTATACTATCAGTAGATGGCTTTTTGCTAATGATTTGCACAGAGGATTAGTTGATTGATTAAACCAGCTACAGACTTGGCCTCAGGAAGCACAAAGTCTCATTGGGTTTAATTTTAATACACATCTCAAGTGTTGCATATTGTATAGTGTTCTTACAATCAGTTACGAATAAGGCTGCTGATTTTCTAGGCCATGTCTGTGTGTCCAGAACCTGGTTTAGCTGTTTTTCAAGAACTACTAAAACACACCAGTGAGCCACGTGGTTTATTTATTGTAGAAGGGTCTCTGACAGTTTTCTGTCAAAATCTTTGCCGTTATAATTAATGATATTTAATATGTGTAAACCTTGTTCAACAGACTTTCCCTAGAGCTGCAGCACAGTGGCTCTAGCTGTGGTTTTTAAAGTACCAGGCTTTGCTTTTGGAGGCTGTACTGTCTCTAAGGTCGGGATCTGTCTCTGTAGCACAAACAATCAAGCCAATATTTGATTTTGTTTCTAACCAGGTGGACTATGATAACCATCCTCTGTATAAACATGGGAAGACAGGCAGGAGGCAGTCTCCTGTCAGGCTGTTCACTAACATCACTCCCAGAGCTGTTGTTCTGCCCAAAGAGGAGGGCTACAGGTATCAACCCACTCACTCTGTCAGCTCTGAACTAGGCTGCTACACTGATATATATGTGAACTAACAGCAACATGATTGAGTCGATGACAAGATCAAAATTGTTTATATTTTTAGATTTACTGCTCAGTACATATCTTAGTCACAAATCTATACATGAAATGAACCTTATCAAAAGTCTTTGCTTATGATCTGTGTTTATGTTAAAGCACAATATCACCAATATAATATTATCAGACTTTTGAATTGCTATCACTTTTGGTCTCAGAAATCCCACTGTGCTCTTGTTTAAATGTAATCTAGCATTTTCCTAGGTTGTATTGATCTATTTTTAAAAGCACATCTTACATCTTCCTAATATTAGATACTGTCAAATTAATTGGGCTAAATCATATGATTTTTTTTTTTTAAATACTGGTGTCAGCACAGCGTCTTAGTTTTAGTACCAATACCTAAAACAATACTTCAGCGCCTTACCTTAAGAACATAAACACCACTTTTTACAAAATCTTCACTGGACTTTGCCAAAATGGAATAATATAAATAGTTAGTTCTGACTTAAATTTCAAACCATGCAAATGAAAGAATGTGTAAAATACCTGTCACAGTGTTGAACCACAACGGCCTGTGATATTACAGACACATTTCTATCCACGCTCTGACAATCCTGGGGTCTGACACCCAGCCATAAGGACTGTGTTACAGTCATGTGTCTTCACTTGCTCCTGTTAGGTTTTGCTCTGTATGTGAGAGATACGTCTGGTCCCTCAACAAGCACTGCGCTAAATGCAACATCTGCCCATCCAAGGTATCATCATTGAAGCTTCTCATGCATGGTTTGCCAACTTGAATAAATGCAGTTATCAAATTTACACACGCTGTTTTCTTGGTTTGTCTCCAGGATGGCCGTGAATGGAAACACTGCTCATTATGTGAGAAATGTGTGAAACCATGTAAGTAATTTAATATCTAAAATCACATCCGATACAGTAATAAGATGTATATACACTGTTATTAATGTCAAGACAAAAGCCTTCAAATCACCTTTGGTCTCATATTAATGTGTGTATTTATATTGTTTCCCTTCTAAGCATGGAAACATTGTCAAGCCTGTGGTCACTGTGCCCTCCCATTGCACCCATGTGGCCACAGCCCAGGAAAGGAAGGCTGCTTCTGCTGTGGCAGCTTGCAGCACAAGCACAAAGCCTGCCCTCTCAAAGACACACACAGGATCAACAGGTGAACAGCTAAGGCTTAAACCATTTCTATCCATCACTGTGCCAGTACAATGAAATATGTGCACATCCTAACTTGTTCTTCTGCATCTGTGTTCTGCCCCTCCAGCTGTCGGCCCAATGCCAAGAGTGGAGCCAAAAATGTGTCCCGTAAACCCCTGTTGAAGCGTAAAGCTAAGAGGAAATCTGGAGCAGCTCGCAGAATAAAGAAGGCAGCTCAGTCTATGTGACCTCATTATTCATGCCGTGTCTTGTCAGCTGTGCAATCAGAGGCTATTGAATAGTTTTTATTTGAAATAAAATGACTCCTCTTAACTGTGTTAACAACTGTTACGGCAGAATAAAAAAAGGCTTGTGAAAAGAGAATTGGCCTGTATTGTATTTTTCATTGAAATGCGTAGAAACAAAAAGTTATTTATTCTGTATTATGGTAACACATTTTCATATGAAGAAAAGTTATTATTCTGTACCAGACATTTCCAACTGTTCTTGTATTTTCTTCTGAAGTTGCAGGAATAAAAGAAAGGCAAGTGAGGGAAAATTTTGGGACATATAAGAAACCCATAATGTTATCATCTTATAAAGTTGTTGTAGCAAACAGTTGCCCTTTTACACATCCAGCAGACACAAAGCAACATTCAGATTCATGAATGAAGCTCAGAGAAAATTTAGTTTATATAAATGGTTCTAGTAAATGAATAGGAAATTATTTGATTCATCATTTAAAGCTGCACCAATCAATATTTTTATATTTAAAAAATCCTACTTGTAATGTCAAAGGAGTTGAAAGTTCCTGTGGATAGGATGTGAGCAAATTCCAGATGTCCAAAATCAAAAAAGGTTTCAAACTATATTTAAATTAATTTTTGACCAAGATTTTTGTGTTTGCTGGTTCTCCACATTTGTGTCTCTAATTACATAAATAAGGCCTATCATTTTTAAAATAAAGATATTAATGATCTTAGTGTTATACCTGATCATGTTTAGTGTGTAGGCTGATCAGAAATCATTTTCCACAACTCTTTTTAAATTGATAAGTTCTGTTTGATTTTAGTAACTGTTGCTGTTGCTACTGATATTTGAATTTCTTTTAAGTATCTCTCTATCTATGTCCATGTATTTATTTCTGAGTTTACCTGAGTTTTACTTCATTTTCAGTCTGAACTCTGAGCCGAAAACGTCATACGGTTTTGCTTCACGATTACTTTTTTTCTTCTCAGTTTAATTCTGCTTTGGCCATGTGATGGCAGTACTGTTACTCCTATCTCACTGTCTTATATCACTGCTTGTGCTGGAGATGTTTGCCCAAGGGCCTGTTTCATGTGGTTATAATATATTTTGTTGTGTAATTTGCTGAGCTTGTTAAAATGGACAAGAAAACTGAAAGAACACTTTTTGTCAGTAGATACAGCATTTTCACCTTGGGAATATGCTGTATCCCTCACTGTTTTGTCTTTATTAAAAAGAAAGATGTAGTAATAACCTTAAAATCTATTGATATTGCATGAGATGTTTACTAAAGAGCAACAACACGGACACTTCAAATAGCACGTCACACCTTTAGGAATTGAAATGGTTCAATTCAGCTTATTATAGAGGATGAGTCAAAGAGAGCAGCTGTTTTATCCCTACTGAACTAAAGCAGTGTTATGTAAAACAGCTGAAAGGAGCTGAGCTGACAGAGGAGGTTGTTGGTTCTGTCCCCATCCTGTCTAAAGCGTTTCCCATATGAACCTTCACCAGCCTTTGAAGGAAAGAGGGGGTTTGTCAGCTGCTTTAATCTGTTGAGAACAAAGACAGAATGAACCCACCCATTGCTGCAGGTGGCCACACACACACACCTATGCACACTTGAAAGCAGGATTAGATGTATGAGGCACATCAGTGACATGTGAAGACACATGCTTATATCCTTGCCACTTGAATACACACACAAAGAGATGCAGATCCAAGCACACACACACACATACAATTACTATAAAGAAACCAAGAATTGAGCATTCTGTCTATCACAGGACTGATTCAACAGGAGAGACAGTCAGCTGCCTGAACAGTCTCTCAGCAGCACTGTACACTGTACAGAAAAGATCATAGCAGGATATTTAGTCCTTTGCACAAATAAACTAGTGAAGTAGAAATACTGTTGCTTTGATCAAGTTAAGCCTGTATTTACTACTTTTGGCCTCTTGGAGGCAACAGAGCAATGTGTAGTAAATACTTTCAAATATTGATACCTTACAAAATAGTGATGTGAAAATGTTAACATGAGCAGTGGCTGCCTTTGCACCCAGTTGAGGCAAGAGTCACTGGCCCTTTGTCCTAATCAGGTCATATCATTTATTCAGTAGAAATGAAAATTGCTGCTGAAGAGGAGAGGAGTGCATCATTTTGCTTCTGCTAAATTGTCACAGGTAAAAGAAAAAAAGGCTTGTGTCTGCCATATTGTAAAGATGACGATGAACAGGAATTACTTCACACAACCTGTTTTTTTGTTTTGTTTTTTGACACTGGAAATAGTTCTTCTGTAACAAAAACTTCAGAGTAGGCAACAGTACAACATTTGCATTAGCGCCCCTACTGTAAACACATAGCATAAGATTTGCTCTTGCGTCGCATTTCAGATTTGCTACACAAGTACATCAAAATCCTCTGAACGAGCTCTGAGTCCACTAAACACATTTTAATACCTTTTTGGTCTCCACAAACTCCTGAGCAAAATATGTGCCTCTTTAGCCGTTGAATGTGTCACTATGTGTACCAGCTTGTATATATAACTTCTGTCAAGATTATGTTGAATAACTGCTTCATGCTAACTGAAGTGATTCTTGCAAACTTGTTACAGTTAACGCTTTACATAACAGGAATGTCTGTGCCATATTTTATAGCAATTCATCTAATATATATGAAGACATTTCCCTCAAAACCATGAATGTAAATTGCATGTTGCTGATCACCAAGGTCATTACAATGCTTTCTCCAGGAGTGTTTGTCCTGGTAGAACTGGTTGAAAGGTCAGGGGATCATCAGTATCCTTCATTCATTCTCTAGACTTCAAATTTTTATACAAAAATATTATGGGAATCCATCCAATAGTTGTTGATATACTTCTGTCCAGACCAATGAGTTTTATGAAGAACTACCCATAAAAACCATATTTTTTCAAGTGGGACTGAATTTCATTCCAAGAAAGTATTGTTTGAAAACTCTAATTTACAGAGAAAACTTCAAAAGACATTTAGATAACTGTTCCCAGGCAGTTTTGTTTTCCATCTTGATGCTCTGAGTTGAATCCTGCTGGATTTTGATCTACTCATCTAATTTGAGGCCATTATACACCTGGGAGGTTGAGGTGAGGCAGTAGGAATATGGCCTGTTCACTTGCATTTGTTTTTTTTGTTTTTTTTACAAATGGAGAATAAAATAGGATCCAAGATGAAACCTTGCAGAACTTTACAGGAAATGCAGTCAAGCTGTTCTGTCTGAGAGGTAGACCACTGGAGGCCCATGAAAACATACGGTTTGAAAGATCTAATTTAGATTTAATTTAGAATGCTTAGGAAAACTAAAATATTTATTCCCATTTGAACTGTTTTTTCCCATCCTGGTCCTGGTAGTTGGCCACTCAAGTCCTGCTTATTTTCAGTCTAGTCATCTAGAGAATCTCATACCTGGGATGTAAGGTGAGTGCAGTGACTTGGTCAGCTGGTACTGTTACACTGTCTTTAACTTTAGAAGAAAAAATGCAAGAGAACAAAATGATTGCCAATGTGACTAAGTAGCCAAACTCTTGGGATTGAGTGAAAGGCAGCAGGAAAAGAGGGGGTCCCAGTGCAGACAGCATCCCTGCAGACCTGCACAGTCTCTAAACAGGAGAGGAAGAAGAGGCGAAGGAGGGAGGGTAAAGAGGGATGATCGGTGGGGAGAGCTGCATATCACTTGTAGCTGGTAAGGTCCATGGCCAGGGACACGAAGAGCAATTATTATGATCCTGTCTCTGCTTCTCTCACTGACTTTCTGTATTTTCGCGTTCCCTTCTAGCTCCAAAAAAGGATACTGCTAAAGCCAGGAAAAGGAGGGTGGGGGGTAAAAACAGAGGGGAGAAACCAGAGAAGGAAACCCCTTCAGTATACTCCAGCAGTGCATGTGCATGAGTGTGTTATGTTGAGGCTGCAGATGTTGCTCAGCAGAGCCACAAGGACTACTCTCCACTACTATGGGGTGAGTACGATACTCGAGTGAGGAAGGGGGCTGCTGGTTTACACAGACCACAACTGCATTTATCCATGACAAGATTTCCCTGTGTGTGTGTATTTTGGCTGTTTGTGTGCATGGGGGAAGGATGAAATTAGGAGAGTTTTGTGCTTTTTTAAGAAGAAGGAAGGGTTTCTGTGATACTCCTGGACTGTAATGAAGCTAAGTGCCCAGACTGCGTGTTATTTGAACAGACATGTTGCTATAACTCACTACATAATGAGTGTAATTCCTTTTGAATGAGACTTTTGCACTACCCTGACAGAAAGGTGATCCTGGCATAAAAAAAAAATAGCACAACTTAAGAGGACTGGCAAAAAGTTCAGAGTCAGCCTTGGTTTCCCTCCATTTGTGTCCAAACTAGTTATCATCCAGTAGCATGGTTTCATTAAATGAATGCCAGACTGAGCGTGTCAACACTTACATTTGAAGAACTCCTCCTCTTGGGTGATTTTTTACATACTGCTGTTACCGCCCACAGATAGACATAAATAAACACATGGTGTCACTTAACACAAAAAAGAAAAATGCTGGCGCAGATCCCACAGTTCAATATCGCGGGCACCAGTCCCAACGAGGTCGTGGGATGGAGCTTGAAAGCTAAAGCGAGGAAACCTTTGACCCTCTTTTTGAGAGTGGACTATTGTGATTGGCTGGGTCAACTGAGGGAAGTACAGATTCTGGCCTTTGGACTGGTCAGTTTTTATTTGGGATTATGTATGTTTCTGTATTCTCTAACACTTGGCTTGTGTACTTTGGTCTCTTTTTTCACCTTTTGAAAATAAGATTCTTTCTCTCTTGCTCAACATTGCACACATAAACATTAATTTTCTTTAATTCTTCGATTCTTGACATCTCTTATCCTGAAAGTCAGTTCTGATGGCTTATGAGAGAGTATTGGAGAGGTCATAATTCCTAGTTGTTGGCCACCTGAGCCCGAGGATAAATTTGTTCTGACTATATAAGGTCTCTGTTTTCTGTCCTCTGGTCCTGTCCCTCATTCTGCAGTCTGGCCTGCTTAACAGTAGAAATATCTCAAGGAGCCTTTTAACTGCATAGGATCAGAGATGTTTATCTGATGAGTTGTAGAGTTCTTTTTAAATGATGTGGAG